TAATATACTAACCCCTGATTTTGCCATATTTTGAAAATATCTCTTCCATTTCTTCACGAGTCATGTGGTCTGTGGGCAAATTGCCGACAAAAAGTCTTCTCTCTAAATCCTGAGGATTGGTGCTGTTAGTGAAGTCGCTCTGTTTGATGCTATTGCTCTTGCGTCCTCGAGCCATTTTGCTTTCGTTCCAAATCCAACTCTTCGCAAAAAAAAAAAAAATGGCCATGCATATAATTTCAATCCATGACATTAAAATTAAACTGGAACAAGATTAAATTTAACAGCTTTGCAGACTAGAAGCCAACTGGGTCTGCTTGACGCAAACTTCACTCCAGAGAAATCTTAATACGAGGGACACAGAGGTCAGGCAAAAACACTCACTGCAGCATTTTGGTTGAGCTTTCCTGTAATACTGAAAGGTAGCAAATCTAATTATTTTACAGATAGGTTTTAATGGTTTWACTCCAAACCAARATACAAATAAAACTAATTTTCCACTAAAATGCCTTAACTTTAAGCTTTTCAACACRCCCATTGTTGTCACATCTAGTTCTTCAATCCACTGATAAGAAGTGTTGAAATGTATGCAATATTTTAATAAGCAGAAAGGAGATACTCATTGCAACATTGCATAACAGCACCCAAATATTCCAGTAGGGTTTGGAATGAGGCATCAGCAAGTACTGCTGAAATACTCCTAAGTGACCACACCTGGATCACTTCACTACATGTGAAATCTCAGCTTTTCAATCCCAGGAATCACAGTTTCTCATCTGGATCTCTATTAGATGCATACCCTTGTCCCCATGGAGATGTCACTTCCCACAGCAGGCGGGTCCACAGCTGGGAATTTAACCACCCCCAGGTAAATGCTGCACCCTTCCTCACCTCCCCCATGYGACAAAAGCACATTCTCTTAGCCCACAGCCCTGCACACAGCTGGAGCAGTCAGCAACATTCACTGTACMAACTCACCCAAACAATTAAAAAAAAACAACACCCAAGCAAACARAAGTCAACATAACAAACAATGCCAAAGCTGACAAAAAACACCATCCCTACGATTCAGACTCTCTGGTTTAACATTCACCATTAGGTAAAGCTTAAAGAAATTAATAACACTGAAACTTTCAAGATTAACTTGAAAGTTTAAAAACTATTTAATAAAGTTGTTCTACTTCCTAAACATTCACCTACAGGAATGCAGGATGGGATTTTCTGTTTGTAACATGCAAGAAGCCTGGAAAAAGAAAGATGATGAAATCGAGTGTGTCAACAGAAATTTCTCCTTTTAATCATGTGATGCCTACAACCAACATTCTCTCTAACAGCAACCTAGAGTCAATACAATTTAAAAGTTAACTCAAAATGAATACATCAAATGTCAAAAAAATCAGACAAGTCTATATAAATACTTTTACAACACTTAACTGRCATGAAAAATACATCTACTCCAGATTTGAGACATTAAATGTATTTATTTGTCCTTTAAAGATCAGTCAACTTCACATTTGTATCATTCTTCTCCTTTTTTTAGGACACCCTGCAGAGAAGGGAGGCAGAGAACACTTCCTYGTCTAATAAAATTTTAAAAATTAACTGCCAGAACCAGGATGATTTAAAAAAACCCAACACCCAAAACAAAATCCAACAAAATTAATCTTCACTATTGCATTTGTCCCAATTGCCCTGCAAGTTTGTCCACACACATACACAGAGTTTTACCTTCCCAATGCGAAGCAGCAAATCCCATCCCATTTTTTTACACGGAAGCATTGGATTTCTATTCCACTACTGCAGCTCAAGTTCTCATCAGTTGAGGGTAAAGCAGCTTTCAAAACTCCCTCAAAATTACAAAKTGGCAATAAAATATGGAACGACCCATCTAGCCCAAGGGCCCATTTGGAGCAGAATGCAGTGGTCATGGCCTTCTCCAGCTTGGTTCCTAGCATCAYTAGGGATAAGGATGGGGACACGGAGCCCCTTTGCAGGTGGTCTCTGGATGTCACAGAGACACACAGCAAACAAATGTCAAACAGGCCTGTAAATRCTGGCAGGACATCTCACTTTCACTGTAAAAATCTGTAAGAAATTCCCTTTTGTTTTCCTTAGGGGTGGATAGCACGGGTTGGCTGAGCAAGAGGCTGCAGAACTTTTCACTTTAAGAAAAATGGAGAGCTATCTCCCACTTCAAAACAAACAGTAAATCCCAAACACTCAGATGAGTKACTCCAGAACTCTCATCTAAGATCATTCACTGCCTCTTACCATTTAAGTTAAGGATTACAGTTAAGGGCCATTCAGTGATCATAAGACCAAAATAAATGAATGTTGTCCCAGYTCTGGACATGCTACATCAGTTGAACACCTAATTCCCACATGACGTCTTGTTGTATGAACACAGCCAGAGAGGCATCGGGACACTTTAAAGCTGCCAGTTCCCGGCGCAATAACTGTGGGTACTATGACAGGACAGCCCACGGCACCTCATGTGCCAACAAATCCTCAGGAAATTAATTAAAGCCACATCTCTCCGAAAACCTCATATTTAGAACCAAAGTTGTTTATTAATAGCGCTACAGCTTCAGGAAGCAAGGCTCTGTTGGAGTGGGATACCGAAACTAATTCAACACAAGCGAAACATGAGTCTACAAGAAGTTCACGGGCAAGGCAGAAACAGCGGGCACCAAGAGCAGAAGAAGAGCCGGCACGGAAAGCAGAGGTGCCGAGCAGCAGGAGCTTCCCTCGGAGCAGACCCGCGCCCTCCCAAAAGCCAGGAGGGCTCTCCTGGGGCAACGCTGGCACCGTCCGTCCCGTCCTCCCGCCCCCCGCCAAGCAGGGCAGACACGGCGCCACCCACACGGTCACCCAARGAGCGCCTCCGCCTTCCCCGCCGCCGCTATCCCGGGCCGCCGCTCACCCAGGGCCCACCGCAGCTCCYGGTGCAACGGGGAGGGAACCCCGGCCGGGAGCTTCGCCAGCGGCCACCGCTCCCACCCGTGCCTCCCGCACCTCCACCGGGGCCTGGGCGCTGTCAGTGCCGCTCAACCCTCGCACTGGTCACTCTGGGGGCGCGAAGCAGCCCCACCGAGCCTCAGCGAGCCCCGGCGGCCCCGCGCTGCCCGGATGCGAGGAGGAGATACGGCCCGCCCGCAGGCCGCGAGGCACGCCCGGCCCGGCTCCAACCGACGGCCAGGAGGAACCGGGCCCTCCGTGGGGCTCGATGCCGTGCGCCTCTCGCTCGGGCGCTCCGCGTACCGGGGGACCGCGGACCCGCAGACTCACCGCCGGTCCCGGCCCGGATCCGSTGTCCCCTCAAGCCTCCGCCGCCAGGACAAAGGCGCCACCCGCCGCTACCGCACGGCGCTGTCGCAAAGCGGAAGAGGGGGAGCACGGTCACTATGGYGACGTACCGCACTTTACGGTGCGGCGGCGTAGCGCCATTCCTGCCGAGGCAAGGGCCACTCGCCCTGGCTGCCGGCACGTGCTGCTGCACGGCGCCGCAAGGCAGGCCGGGAGTTGTAGTGCAGAGGAGGCCGGGCGGCCACTGGGTGGCGCTATCGGCCCTCGTGAGGGGGAGGCGGCGGAACCGGGATCGGGGTCGGGATAAGGTTGTGAGAGTGAGCGGGATCGGGATAAAACCGGGACTGGGACTGATACTGGGGCCATGATTGGGATCAGACCGGGACAAAGACCGGAGTCGGGATCAGATGGGACCGGGGTTCGGGTGGGGATCAGAACAGGACCAGGATCATGATCGGGACCGGGGTCGTGATCAGACCGGGACAGGGACCCAGATATCGGATCGGCGATTGCGATCAGACCGGGACCAGGACCGGGGTTCGGGTCTGGATCAGGTGCTGTTGGGACCAGGGTAGGGGTCGGGATCAGACCGGACCGGGGGACAGGGCCAGGACTGGGGTGCCCCTGCCCCGCTCAAGGCGCCGTTCCGAGTAGCAGCTGCCCCACTACGGTTCCTCGCTGTGCTCTCGTAGGGGCTCCCGCCTGAGCAGCTGCTGCCGGCCCGGCTGCAGCCCGGGACCGGGAGCAAGGGGCGCTCACAGCCCGTGGCCACAGGAGATCCTGCTCAGTCAGTGCTCGAGGCCGCGGGGGTTTCCCAAGCCAGTCCCACGGGAGTCGGGCCCAGAAATCCCCTCCCCGCCGCGGCCGCCCCCTCTGCCCCCGAGATTCCCCAGGGACGCTTCGTGCTCCCGAGTGAGTCAGTTCTGGGAAGTGACATTGGGCTGGGGAATCCAGAGCACTCGGTTCCCAATTCTCGCTGCCCGCGGGGTGCACGCTGCCCTTCTCCCCGCGAGCAGCTGTGACCTGGCGATAGCCCCGTGTGGCTACCAGCCTCCGGCYCGGGCCGTGACCGGGGTGCTGCGGTGTGCCCTCTCAGGCGTCGCGGCAATGTGGGCACGATGTGGCCGCAGGGGACGGGGCGGCGGTGCCACATATGATCGGGGCACCGTGGGGCGCTGAGGAACCACCGTTCGCTGCCCAGCCACCGCAATGCCAAGGAGAGTCTAGGAAACGACTCCGGAGCGAGCAGAGATCATGGAAATTCCCTGGGGGTTGCTGGGAACCCCTCTGCGGAACTGAGACGGAGGTACAGTCAGGCCTCAGCGCTGTTGCCCCTTCCCCTTTCAGGGCTGACTGGCTTGCGGGGACACTCCGCAGAGGTCAGGGCTCGTGGTGGCCCTGGGGGCTCTCCAGGGTTGCAGCCAGAGGGGCTCTCCATGRCCAAAGCTATGCGGGCTCTCCAGGGTCACTGCTCAGGGGTTCTTAAAAGCTGAATTAAAAGAAAAAAAAAACCAAACTACCTCTCTGAGCTGCTGTTTGAAAGAAGAAGTGAAACCTGGAGCTCCTGCCGGGGGGGTGGTGGGGTGGTGTCTCTACAGTCGCTTCTCTTCCCTCCTTGCGGACCGCGGCTGACCCCTGCCCCTTCTCCTGCCTGTGCCCCTGACCCCGGGCCGAGTGTCCCGGCTGGGGCAGCGCCTGCCCGCAGGTCGGGAGGGCAGCTCGGGGCTCGGGGGGGCCGGCGGGGAGCTGTCGCTGACCGGGGCCAGCGGGGAAGCCCCAGGGCGGGCGGCCCAACGCCCCTTCCTGGGCGGGAACGGACCGAGGCGTTCATAGGAGGGCGGCGGCGGCGGCTGGGGTGCAGCGCCATGAACTGGATGGGGCTTTTGGGACTGCTCTGCGCGGCGCTCCTGGGCGTGAGTCGGGCCGGGAGAGGGACAAGGACCGGGAGCGGGGCATGGACCGGGAGCGGGGCATAGACCGGGAGCGGGGCATGGACTGGGAGCGGGGCATAGACCGGGAGCGGAACAGGGGCAGAAGCTGGGGCATCCCTCCATCCTTGTGTCTGTGTCCCACCGGGCTTTCCGAGAAGGGGGCACGGTCCGGCCGCTCCGGCCCGTCCCCTCGGCGCAGCCACCACCCTCCGRGGAGCCCCGGAGCTGTGCGCGGGCGGCATTGGCGGGACCCGGCGGCGCTGCTGGGTCGGGTCCGCCGGTCCGGTCTCCCGGGACCCGCCAGGGCGGAGGAGCTGTCTGTACTGCCTGGTGTCTTTTCCATGTCTCCTACCCACGCGCTTTCGCTTTYCCCCGATGGCGCGGGCCCGGCAGCCCAGCCCCGCCCTGCGCTGGTCCGGGGGTCCCCAGGGCCGGGCCGGGCAGCGGCGAGCCCCGGGACCCTCGGCCRGGACCCCCAGTCGGGCGGGGCGCTGGAACCGGCTGCGGCGCCCCTCCGCTTCTCCTCGGGCTCCATGTGGGTGGGTGTGACGGCKGGGACGGCCCCCTGGCCTTATCGCCGGAGCTGCTCGAGATGCCCACATGGGTGSGGAGCGCCCAGCCGTGCTGGATGCTCCTGCATGGCACCCTCGGCCCGGCCCTCCCTGCCCTGCTCTCTGCCGGAGCCCCCGTCCCGCTTCCTAGGATAACCAGGCTCAGGAGTGTCTGCCAGGAGCTGCCAGGCTACTGGGGGTGGTCAGCGAGGGGCTGGCTCTGTGAGAGGAACGGTGCTCCGGGCGCCCTCCTGCACCCTGTCTGGTCCAAGAGCTCATTCAGTGTCTCCATTTTACCCTTCCCTGTGCAGGTAGTCCCTTGCCAGGAGGAGCAAAGGCAGGCTCTGGCAAGCTTTGCATGAGTGATGCACTTTGCTGGGGCTTTCCTGTCCCTCAGGGACCATGTGTCAGTCTTGGGAAGGGTTTGCTAGTGCTCTGAGTGTGAAAGCTTGGTGAGCGCTGCTCTCTCTGTGTGGGACTGCAGCACTGTTGGCAGGGGTACGGAACTGCAGTCACCTTATGGTAGGAAATGTGGGGAAATGTGGAGCAACTCTACCGGAATCATTGCCACCCCACTTCAAAGGACAGCACTGATGGCATCAGGCAATGTGGCTGGCTGTTGTGGTCTGTGGTTAGWGGAGGCGTGGGAAAAGCGATATGAGGAAGCCCTTGCCTTGGGGTGCGCGTTAGCACGCATGTGTCTGTGGAAGCTGATGCAGGAGTGTTGGATACGAATTCACAGATCTTGTTTCTTCCAGTGGTGGGAGCCTGCTGATGCCTTRACATGCTCTGATAAGCAGTATGTATACAAGGGCAGGTGCTGCAACCGGTGTCGGCCAGGTATGTAAAACCTTTCCTGGGGAGCTCGCAGCTGGGCTGTGCCAGGACCCTCTGCCTGGCCACAGCAGAGCAAGGTCACTTGGTATGACTGAGCCACTCTACCCCATTGCCAGCAATGCTGGTAGCTTCACCTCCATGTGTCATCTCAGAGATAGAGCAACTGGGACCTTTTGGGTGTTCCAGAAGATCCCCTGGACCTCACCAAATGTGCCACAGCTCTCTTGGGACTGTTTGTGCTCTTGCAGCTGCAGAATCCCATGGTGAAGGCAGCTTTACTGCCACTGGTACTAGCAAATTGTGATGGTGTTTGCAAGCTTCTGCTGTCACTTTTCTCCCAGTCCCTGGAGTGCTGGAGTGGCCTCACAGCCCTCCCTCCCCACCTGGCCCCTGTAAGATTTGCAGACACCAGTCGAGCTGGCTGCTTTAGCCCTGGCTACATGCAGAATGTTGCAATAATCCTGGCATCCACAGCTGCCAGCATTCCCCTGTCCTRCTGGCAGAGGCGCTGTCTGGAGAGAGGGAAAGCCCCCTTGCCCCTTTTTCACCAGCCTCTATTGCAGGGGAAAAGCTGGTCTCTGAGTGCAATAAAACAGAAGACTCTGTCTGTGCCCGCTGTGAGAGTGGGCACTATCAGCCAAGCTGGACCAAGGAGAAGCACTGTGCTCCTCATGATATCTGTGAACAYAGTAAGTGCTTGTGGCCACTGTCCCCAACCCGTGGGGACTGGAGGGTCTGGCATCCTCAGGCTCACCTGCCTGGTGTCTCACCTCGCCCAYGTTCCCTCTGCCCAGATGCCGGCCTCATTGTGAAGATGCAAGGAAATGCAACACACAAYACTGTGTGCCAGTGCCAGGACGGCACACACTGCTCTGACACCAGCTGCCAGACCTGTGTGGAGAACCAGCCCTGCCAGCTCGGCTCTGGCTTCGTGGCAGGTAAGTCTGTCAAACTGTTCCCACTCAATGGGACTGATGAYCTGTCAGCACTGACCTCAGGGAATGSGGGTTCCCCCAGCGTGGTGCCCCYTGGCAGGGCTTTGGGAGAGCTGTGCTGTTGCCACAGGGCATGCTGCACACCTGGTCTCTGCAGCCCCTTGCCCCCTCAGACCCTCACCCCCCACAGCTCCTATTGACCTCCCTGCCACCTCTGCTCCTCTTCAGCCAAGGCTGAGAAACGGATGTCATCCCCCTGTGAACCCTGTGCAGAAGGCACCTTCTCCAACGTCTCTTCTAAAACTGAGCCATGTCATCCCTGGTCAAGGTATTGTCTGAGTGCGGACCATGTCCTTCCCCCAGCCCCAGCGAGCACATCCTCTGCTGCCAGTTTCCTTGGTGGCCTTGGGGACTGGGCAGCTGGGCTGGGCTCTGAGGRACACAGCATGTGCCTGGTATAGGGCCAGAGTGAGAGGAATGGGGCTGGGAGCAYGGTGAGGCCCAAGGCAACACTGACTGAGGTCAAGGCAGACATCCAGGTGCCTGTTGTGTCCCTCAGTATGTGGACAGTGCTTGCCCCTTCAGGGGTGTCCGTGCTGGAAGGAGGGATCGGGATCTATGGGGACACCCCATGCTCTGTTCAGGTTCTCCCTCCCAGTCCTTTCTGGGGCTGTAGTCATCAGCCAAGGCAYAAGCCCTCTCCATGGGGAATTCGGCTTTGAGGATGCCATGAACTGGCAGGTCATCCCTGTCTTTAGAAAGCTGCTTGAGGGTTAATTGCTGTTCCTGGTAGAAACATGAGCCTTATTTCCAGGCTGAATTAGTCTTGCTTCAGCTGCCAGCCATTGGATTTCACTTTGCTTTTATCTGTGCCCAGAAATTACTTCCCCACGGAGCCACTTGTAGCCTATCTGAGCTTTTCTGTCATAGCTAGTGTCCAAGCCCTGGGGGTTTCCCTGACTGGGCAGGTTTGCTCACTCCTGTGCCTTGTGCCTAAACTTGTTCCCATCCTCAGCTGTTTCAGCAACTCCAGGCCAAGCTCCTGGGTTGGTACCCTGCTGTCCCCATCATGCTGTATCAGTGGGGTCCCCTTGTTTGCCCTGCTGGAGCTCGGTCGGCTCAGAGCAGGATGCATTTTGGGGCAGCTCTAGTGCTTGCCCAGCCCCAGCTATTCCCTGTGCTTGAGTTACTGCTGTGGTTACATGGTCTTGTTCTTCCCTGCAGTTGTGAGGAAAAGGGGCTGGTGGTGAAGGTGAAAGGAACAAACTCGTCAGATGTGATCTGCGGTAAGTGCCCCGTGCCCAGGGCTGATCCGGTGCAAAGCAGAGACTCCCCAGGCCTCCAGCTCCTGCAGCACTCAGAAGACCTGGCCTGCTCTGTGGTGTTTTTGGGAGAGGAAGGTCTGAGTGCATGAGTGCATTACCAGTGAGATGCCTTCCTGCCTGTCTGTCTCCATGAGGGATCCCTGTGGGGCTTGGGCTGGAGCTGGACCAGAGCAGTCTGTCGTGCTGGGGGTCCCGTGGGTGCCTCACTGATCCCATCTTTCTCTGCAGAGTCAAGCAGGCGCTCCTCTCTGTCAGTGCTGATCCCCATCACGGCTGCAGTTGTCACATGTCTCGTGGGCGTCTGCATCTACTGCCTGGTCCACAGAGGTGAGGGGCTAAAGCAGGGCTGAGGGACTGAGCTGGGAAGGGCAGCATCAGCTCTGCTGAGAATGGGGAAACCCCTCTGGGGGCATCACCAGCACAGGGTTCACTGAGACCTGCTCTGTCTTTGGGAGCAGGTATGTTGACACTGCTGCAGCCTGAGCTGGGCCAGCTCCTGGGGGATAGCACTGGTGCCCAAAAAGTCCATTCTGGCTCCTGCTGTGACCCCCAGCATGCCCAGCCTGTCAGCAGCAGCAAGCATAATGTGAGCTGCAGGACTTGTGGTGCTGCAGGACCAGCCCTGGCTCTGACCCTGGGAAGCTCCTTGCAGGGCAGGAGCAGTTCCCCCAGACATTGCCTTCTCTGTCCCTCTTTCCATCCAGATTCCAGGCGGCGGGTGCCAAAGGAGGTGAGTCTTCCCAGAGCCCCCTCCAGCAGTGGGTTGGGTGGGTTGGGATCCCTCCTGGGCACACCTGGGAATGTGGTGGCAGCAGAGCAGGGGCTGTGGCTTTGCAATGCAGGAGGGGCGGGGGCTGAACTAGGCTGCCTGGCTGGGGCAGGATGAGGGCTGGGGCAACCCAAAGGTGCTGCTGGCAAGTGCTGAGCATTTGGGAGGGACCCACGCTCTGGCCTGCACGGGACCATAGCAGGAGCCTGTGGAAACACATGGGTACTGAGCTGGGGGGGGTTGTAGCTGCCTGCCCCTGACCCCTGCCCCTGTGCAGATAGAGGCTGGGGAGCCCGGAGAGAGCCCAGATACCCAGCAGCCCACGGAGCAGGATGAGAATATCTTGCCTGTGCAGGAGACCCTACTCAGGGGCCAGCCTGTGGCCCAGGAGGATGGCAAGGAGAGCCGCATCTCGGAGCAGGAGATGCTGTGAAGGTGCAGGGAGCTGCCTCTGACAGGAGCACAGACTGGGGACAGCACCATCTCCTGTGTCCCCTCTCCAGCTGGGGAGGAAATCTGGCATCTGGCCTGGTTGCAAATCATGTGATTCTGCAGTGGACCATGGCATGACCACACCACAGGAACACCACCACAACTGCTGGTCTGGTCACCTGCACAGGGCTGCCCTGATGGAGCAAGGCTTGGCTGCCTGCACGGGGATATGGAACAAGAGCCCCATCCTGCTTCCTGCCCAGGTGCTGCAATGGAGCCCAGCACGGCTGCTCACCTGCTGAGCCCTGGCAGAGCCTGGTGCAGCCCCTGGCCACAGCAGTGTCACCGCTGACAGCAAGACCCCAGTGCAGAGCCTGCTCTCCCTGAGTGCTGGGGATGGCAGGGCTGGGAAAGGGGGCAGAGCTCAGTCCCCTGTCCGGGGCGCTGTGGAAGCGCTGCCCGTGCTGGGGCAGGGCCCGGTGGCTGCTGGTGCCTGGACAGGACACCCGTCCTGCCGTGCCGCCCAGCACTGCCCCGCTCCCTGGGACGAACCAAGGCAGGACCGGCGAGCCCGCGGCTCTGCTCCGGGGCAGGGGATCGCGGCGGCGGAGCCGGAGCGCGGACACCGGCGTGCGGCGGCCGGGAGATGGTGCTGCGGGACCGGCGGGGACTGTGCGGGGCGGCACCGGCATCGCCCGCCCCCGCCCCGTCCCGCGTAGGTTCCGGGTGGGCACGGGGGCTTCTGGCCACGGGGTTGGCCAGTGCCAGCCCCCCTCTGGAGGCTGCCCCGCACACCCACCCGTACGTGCGGGAGCGGCCGCGCTCCGTCACCCTGCACCCATCACTGGCGAAACGCTGTGATTAAACGCGATTATCTGCCCCCTGTGCGTGAGCAGCCCCCGGTACCGGCACTCCCAGCTCTGATGTGCCAGGAGGGATGCTTTGGAAGTGGGCCGGTGCTCCCGAGTGTTCCCAGAGCAGAGGTTCCCGGCAGAGGAGGGAGGGAAGGGCTCCTACCAGCTGTGCTGACCCCACTGTGGCCCCAGGCCCTCCCCAGCACACCCTGGCTGGGCACACTCCCCTGCATGCGTGTCCTCTGTGGCTGCCCTCTTGACCCCCACAGCAGGAGCTGCTGCCCAGCACTGCGGTGCCCTGCCCATGCCCCATGCTGGAGGAGACGGAGGGTGCAGGCAGGGCTGCAGCAGGCAGCTCCGTGCCCCTCGCCTCACTGCTCTGGCAGTAAAATGCACATGTGGGGTCCATCCTGCTGCAGGGCAGCCTGCAGGGTGATGGGGTGTAGCAGTGGAGCTATCATGGACTCCAGAGCACTGGTGTGGGGCACCGAGCCCACTGTAGGCTTTAGGTACTGGGAGCAGCCTCAGCCTGTGACCCACCACCCCCTGAACAAAGGCAGCACGGCATGAGARAGGCCATAAATCCCAGAGCAGGAACGGCTGGAGCATGGAGCGACTTTGCCTGTACAGGCAGTGGCACATTATTTAAGGCTCCTCTTAAAACCTAATGTTAGGTTTAATAAGGGAGATAAAAACATGGCAGCAGCTTTCCCTCCTCTCAGAGCTTGGCACTCCCAACAGCGGTGGTGGGATGGTCCCAGGCTGGGCAGCATTCCCTTGGCACCAGCCCAGAGAACACCCAGTCCTGGGGACAGATGTGATCCTGCTCCTGCTGGTGGAGAAGGCTGGTGTTAGGTGGGCCATATATACTGTCTTTGGCCCCACACGTGAAGCCTTTAGCCCTGAACAGTCTCCAAAGGATTGTCTACCCAAGGTGGCAGGCTGGCCACTCCAGGGCCACCTCCCCACTTTCCCCAGGGCTGACCCTTCCCTGCTGGCACACAGCATGTTCAGTGCCCACTGCTGCGTGTCAGACATGTACCATCTCATTAGCGCGTCTGTCCCCCAAAGTGAGAAGGGAGAGCGCGTGAGGCCTAATTGAATGTAACTAATTATTCACTCTGCAAATGCTCTGTTTAAATGGGATTGTGAGGGACAGAATTACTCATTCTGAAAAGGGGAGAGAAAGACAGAGATAAAACAAATAGAGGCGGATGCTGGAGCTGCAGCTCGTTCTCTCTCCCCAGAATACCAATTACCGGATGAAGTGATTGTATAAATCTTTACCGAGTGAACGGACTGTACTAGTCACTTACTCCTGTCCTCTTATTATGAGGAAGCAATGAAAAATCATCCCACTCTCCAGTCCAGTTAAGGGTTCCCAGTCACTGTCTCGGGCACTATCTCACCAGCTGGAGAGCTCGCCCTGGGGCATTTCCAGGGTGGGGGTCCCACTGACAGGACTGAGCACTTGGGAGAAGCTCACACCCCTCCTGCACCCCCAGCCCTGGGGAGGAGCAGTGGCTGTGCATGCTCTGGGGAGCTGCAGGACTTCTGCCCCAGCAGGAGCCAGGCAATGCCGTGCAGCACCCTGGAGCATGGGGAGAGGTGGGCTGATCAAGGGCCCCAGTGTCACACTGACAGGTTGCCCAGGGACCCTGGTGCCTGGCACRGTGTCACTTCAGGTCTTGAGCCCTCAACTTCCTTGTTCTTCCCTTCTGTGGGTGCCTGCCAGGTCCCTTGCACTGGCTCCTGCAATGCTCACCAAACAGGGAGAGCATGGTGCTTCCCAGCCCCTTCCCACGCTGCAGTCAGTGTTTCTCACTCARGGTGTCTCTGCTCCACTGGTTGCAGAAACACAGTCATTGGCTGTGACCTCCATCACTCTTGCCTGCCACATGTTTTAATCCCAGATCCCTCTAAAGACCTACATTTCTCTTCTTGTCTGTGGTGTGGGATAGGAGAGGCAGTCCTGAACATGTGGAACAGGGAAAGCTGACACACACCCCTCTGCAGCCTGCCCAGCAGTGGGGAGCACCCACTGTGGTTCTGCTGCTCGAGCTGGTGAGGACCCAGCCAGTCCCATACTCCCCGCAGACAACCCCAGACCCCCCTCACCACGAGGTATCCAGCACCTCGGGGGCTGATTTATGGTGGACAMAGACCACCTGGTCTCCACATCCTGCAGCCAGAAATAGAGGCACCCTGGAGCCCTGCAGGTGCTACTCCAGAGAAGCCACTGGAGTTGTGTGGTGGGTTCACTGGGGGAAACCACGATGGATGCAAATTGGTAAGGAGAGGGCAAAGCCTCCAATCTGTCCCGCCTTGTCCTGGTTGGGGATTTAATGCCAGCAGCGAGTTTCCATGCACTGGAGATGTGTGTGTGGGTGTGAGAGAGAGATAACATCATCATCGTCATAACAAATGCAGTTGTGCAGCTCCATTCTCTGCTCATTGGCTTTCTTCTCTTTATCTATAAATAATTGCGGGGACACAATAGACTTTTAAGTCTGCCAAAGAGTTTGTCTCCCTCCAGCAACCGTATTGCTACAGTGCTGCCACCTTATCTGCTTGTAGAAAGATGAGGGTGGGAAAAATATTTACTGTCAGGGATATTTGTCATCTGCAAATTACCTCTGCCTACAGTTCGCAGCGGGGATGGGACTGACAGCGCCGATCTGTACTGTGGGAGTGTGAGCACAGGGGGCCTCCACGCTGCCCCAGACCCACCTGAGCCTCCTGCCATTAGCTGTTGGGGCTGGCAGCAGCGAGTCAGCAAATCCACTMCATGCAAAGCCATGCCACAGGGATGAGGGGATGAAGCTGAACYAGGCACCCAGCAAGTGGCTTGACACAGAGGAACACCGTGATGGGACTGGGACTTTAGGCTCAGAGAGAGGTTTGCCACTTTGCCAGTGCCTCCCCAAGCACAGGCCTGCACCCCCAGGCCTATGTGCAGCAGCCCCCAGGACAGCAGCTCCAGGCACYGACCACTCTGAGAGCCCCAGGCCTTGCTCTTCTCCTGCAAAGGCCAAAAGTGCTGGATATTCCACCATTCTCTCAGCACCCAATGTCCCTGCCAGCCCCGCTCTACCTGCTGCTGCCAGCTCCACCAGGCTCGCTCGCTGCTGGAATTCCTCACATCCAGCAGCCCAGAGGTCTTTGCACAGCACTTATCACTGCAGTATCCAAGAACCGATCTAATTGATGTGACACCAATTATTCCTGTATCGCTAAATGCAGAATTAATGCATCTGTGTGTACAAACCTCCTAGACCCTGACCATGAAATTACGACTTTGACATGAAAGGAGCCAGAGCTGGGAGCACCAGCTCTCAGCTGAGTCCCCACCATCTCAGCTCTGGCCAGTCCTGCTGGGATGCTCCCTTGATGACCACACGGACCACGCAGGGTCCCTGCRTCATCCAGCTGGCTGCACGGAGAGCTGGGGTTTGTGGCTCTTTGCAGACTGGGCTGCAGCTGTGGTGGTCCCACACAGCTGTACCAACACAGGCAGCACCAGCCCAGAAGTGAGTGCTGGCAGAGCTGCCGTGGCTATTGTGACAGCCAGCRCAGGGAGCTGCGTGCTCTGCAGGGCAGTGCAAAGCCATTTCTGGGCTGCTCTGCACAGCCTATGCAGGCTGCAAAGCTCTTGGCTTCGACATGGACTGGTGCTGGGAAAAGCCATTCATTGCACTTGAAATTTTACTGTGAAATTAGGCTTTGCCTGGACACGCAGGGCTTGGCACAGGCAGAAGTTTGTATTTTGTAAATTGCTTTCTACAATCAATTAAAGAGAAGAGATGGCTGTAGGCAGAGGTGGCACACGAGATGGCTCCAGGTTGGGGCTGATTYCAGATCCCTGCCACACAGCCCCCGGAGCAGCCCCAGGCCCAAGGGAGCAGCCTCAGAATAGAGAGATAGTGGGGCTGGGCAGAGGCTCATCTGGCAGAAAGGGGGGTGGGCAGCTGCGAGGGGGAGGACGGTCCCATCAGCCCCTGTGCCCACACTGACTACTGGGCTGAAGGACTTGCCCTCCCCTGCTGGAAACCTGCTCCCCTTGGCACCCCACTTGTAGCCATGGTCACTGCCACACACCCCAGCTTGGGATGCACCAGCCAGCATCAGAATTGTGTCCCACCGCCACTCCACATGCCCTCCTGGTGCCTCTGGCATGTCCCACAGCAGGAGTTTGTGGTTTGTGGGGCGTGATGCACATAGGAGCTACCCCCAGGCCTTTGCACTGCACTGGCCAGTGGCAGCTCAAGCTCCCTCCTGGAGAGGAGCCCCTGTCCCCTGTCAGCCTCACCCCAGCACTGGCTCCCCTGAGACTGGCAGCACACTGTGGTGCCAACACTGCTCCAGGGCAGCAAAGCAGAGAGGTCCTGTGTGAGCTGGGGGATGCAGCGAGGCACAGCCAAACAGGGTAAAGCCCTGCTACCCTTTCCCATCGCATTTGGGCAGAGCATGGTGAGCATGGTGCGTGTCGGGCTGCTTGGATGGTGAAGGGCTTGCCCTGGTTCTGGTTTGCTCAATGTTTTCATTAAGGACCTGGATGATGGAATAGAGAAAGTGCTTATTAAATTTGCAGATGACACGAAGCTGGGAGGGACTACAAGTATCTTGGAGGACAGGATTAGAATTCAAAATGATCTTGACAAATTGGAGAAATGGACTGGAAAAAATAGGATGAAATTCAACAGGGACAAGTGCAAGGCAGTACGCCGAGCTGGGAACAATCAGCTGTGCAAACACAAGCGGGGCTGGCGGCGCAGAGCCCAGCCGGGCATGAGGCCACACAGGCACGGGGCAGGCACGGGGCAGGCAGGAGGCACGGGGCAGGCAGGAGGCACGGGGCAGGCAGGAGG